CATGTGAGCACATAACTAATACCGTTCATGAGAAGGCAAATGTATTATTAAGTACTATATAGAACACAAGAAAAAAGAAATTCTTTAGGAAGTGGTTTGGAAAACCATAAATGACATTTGAGCTGCAAAGAACAAACAGGTGTCTCAAGAGGCAGACATTACAGGATGAAGGATCCTAGGCAGCGGGAACCCAGTAAGCCAAAATCAACATGTAAAGAGGGGCAAAATAAGCACCACCGCTCCCGTGGGATTATGTGTGGCTTTAAGATACTCTAACATCCACCATTTCCCGAGCTCTATTTTGTTTTTATGTCGATATCATGAAACCTTGTAACTTAAAAAGCCAGAAACACTTATCCCAACCTTCCAGTTTAGAAAACTGAGGTACACGGGGATCAAGCAAGTCCAAGGCCCGAAACCAATCCAGGAGTAGAAACCACAGCAGCCTGACTTCAGAGGCCGCAATCCCAACCACTATATTCCTAAAGCCCTACACACTGTAGTTTTACGATCAAAGCAGAGGCCAGAACGTTCGGTCTATATACACATTTTTGTTGCTTAGGATTCCCATATTCCCTTGCACAGTGTTCAATATACTTTTTGACTGTCTTTTCCAAAGTTCTAATAAAAGTCAAGACTAGAATAGGAGTGAGCCACACCCATACATGCTCAGAAATTTTCAGCCCCATCCTTATCCAGACTGGAGCACTGCAAGCCTCCCAAAGCATATTAGAAATATATTTATGATCTAAACCAGAAGGAACAGCTAGCTACAACCTTCTCTCCCAATTTATGATGAAGTGACAGTAGGGGGCGACCTACTAAACCTATCCTAAATAGGTGGGTTTTGTTAATTTATTATTCTGTACATGCATATCAGTTTCCCTTCTTTTCAGGCTACACAGGTCTGCCAAAGATCATTACCTTTCCCTTCTACTTCATACTTGGCCTTCCCTTGTCTCTTTCTCGATTATCATTCCCACACTGCCCCAAATTTTACCTGTCTTCTCTTTGACCACCCTTCCTTCACACTGTGTTTCTATGGAATTTTTGCTCTAAGCGCTTTTCAAACGAGTCATTAGAATTGTCTCCCTTGACTACTCTCTTCACTCTCTTAATGGCTTTGAAATAAACCTAGTCTCACCCAAATGCTAACCAAAAGACCAGATGGCCCTCTGGCCTCATACATGCAAACAGAGCTAAAACAGTATGAACATGCAAGAGAACAAATCTTAAATATCTGATTAATCTGTATAAACACAGTCTTTGAACAAATACACAATATAGGAACTATCTGGGTGCCTGACTGGCTCAATGGGTAGAGCATGCAACTCATTTTTTAAGATTTTATTTATTTATTTATTTGAGAGAGAGAGAAGGCATGAGGGGGAGCGGGGCAGAGGGACAAGCTGACTCCCCACGGAGCATAGAGCTCAACGCAGGGCTTTATCCCAGGACCCTGAGATTATGACCTGAGCTGAAGTCAGACACTTAACCAACTGAGCCACCCAGATGCCCTGAGCACGCAACTCTTGATCTCCAGGTTGTGAGTGAATTTAAGCCCCAAGTGTGGTGTTGAGTTTACTTAAAACAAACAAACAAGCAATAAACAAATAAATGAATAAAACCTCATCCAAAAGGAAAACCTAGAAACTAATTTTTTTAAATATATGCACAGTGAGGTTTGGAGGTTTAATAATTAAAAATCATTGCTTTGAAAGAAATTTTATATGTACATAAAAGAACCTAATGAAATCTATAGATCCAATCTTGGGAAACACATACATACAAAATTCTAGGAGAGATTTATGAGAGTTCATGTCCCCGCCAAAGGCTATCCACAGAAGTCCATGGACTCCCATATTAAAAAAATTAAAAACCTGACCTAAAATATTCTATTAGTTGGAAATCTCCATTATTTACAGGTGATTCATGCAGGAATCCTCTACCAAATCACTAAAAGTTGTAGTTACTAAAAAAATAATAAATAAATAACTGTTATAGTTATCATTTCTATTCTCAAATAACTTCATGAAGTTGGGTGATTTCAACCAGAATCGTTTCACAGGACTTTCTATCATCTTCTTTTTTTTAAGATTTTATTTATCCATTTGACAGAGAGAGAGAGAGAGAGCACACAAGCAGGGAAAGCAGCAGAGGGAGAGGGAGCAAACTCACCGCTGAGCAGGAAGCCCAACGTGGGGCTCGAGCCCATCATGACTCGAGCTGAAGGCAGGTAGTTAACCAACTGAGCCACCCAGGCGCCCCTCTATCATCCTTCTGAAAAGGATTTCATGAGTAGCCCAGTCATTTTGTGATACAATCCACAGAACACATTAAGTAGATGACAGGAGAAGAAAGCAAAGGAATAAAATGTTTGAAATAATAATACATAAAGGGAAACATACATACAAAACAGAGCTTCATAAAGGACCTGGGATAATTCAGAGACCTTTTTTTTTTATTAAATGTGTAAAAAGTAGTCCACATTGTACAAGCTCAATATCAGACAAATGTACAAGGGTGTGTAACTGGCATATTATGAACTGTATACAACCAAACACTCACTGCAGACACAATCCATATTACATTCAATGTCTGCATATTTACATAATACCTACTCTAAAGTAAATACAAAATTAACTGTCACTTTAGTTCAGTATATGTGTGATATAGTTCAAAATAAAGGCAATTTTTTTCCACCAAAAAACCAAAGGTAATTATTTTCAAACCAAGTACCAATTCACCATATTGTGCAAAAATATTTCAAGACTAATATAAAGGGTTCCATTTAGGTTTAGTCAGTAAGATATATTTCTATGCTACTGAAATACAGCTAAAGTTTTAGATTGTAATTACCAATGTAACAGTACTTCTGATTTACAACTGACCTAAAAATAGCGGTTGCTAATATATATTCTTGACATTTTAAAAAATCTTCAAAACTTAAATACAATTCTAAAAGTATATGTGCCTTGCCACTCACTCAATAAACATGATTTATTTTAATACAGATCACAAAAGTTCAATTAATTAACCAGAATTCCGTATCTATTTCCTGCCTGCTATCTATTCCAGTCTTAAATCTAACTTTATATCAAAAGCAGCAGTTCAGAATTTCGTAAGATTAATCCCAAGAGTTACTGGGTAGCTTTTAAACTATTTCATTCCTTATAAATATAAATCACAATCTAGATGAGTAGTCCCCTCTATTAGAATTATGTGGGGAGCTCTCAAAATTTGCATGGGCCCCACCTCAGAACGAATGGTTAAGAATCTTCCAGAATGTCTGTTTTGTTTTGTTCTGAAGCTCTCAGGTGATAATGGCATGCAGCCTAGTGTGAACCTCTGACCTAGAGCACTAGACCAATGGGTCGCAACTTTTAAGGTACATCGGGAACCACTTGGGGGGGACAAAAAAATTAAAAAAAAAAAGACAAAAACAAATAAGTAGATTTACTTCAGTTAGATTGAAAGTGGTGTCCAGAAACCAGCATTTTAAATAATCACTGCAGCTAACCCACACACCACTCTGAAAAACAACGCATAGCCTTATATAAATGAGTACATTCAGCAATTTAGGTGACATTGTCCTGCAAGTGCTAATGAATCCTGCCCCAGGCAAGTTTCACTTAGTGTTTGAGGGCAAATGTAGCCTTTTAAGATAAAATATATTTATATTTTTAAGTATCCGGTAAAGTCAAGTAAATTGTGAGATCATAATTCATTCATTAAAGGGACCGGCTTTCCAATAAACTGTTTAAACCTTTAAATAGACCAGTTTTTAGCAGTCAACTTAAATCTAATGCCCTCTCCATGGTTAGCCTGATATGAGATCAGAGGTAGTGATTCCAGCTTACCAAAAATGTAATGTAGACTATAAAAGATACACAATTCTAAGCATACACCTTTATAGGTTCTGTACAGTCTCTATGTAATAGAGATTGAAGACCAGTTGGATATTAAATAATATTAAAACAATGAATAATCTCAATCTTAAAAAATGAAACTTCATGTGATATTTCCCTCGAATAAGTTCCTACTAAAAATATTGAGGGGAACAATCCAGAAAACACTCAAGGTATCATGCCGCCTCTTTTGTGAAGAAGCTATTTGCTAATTTTCTACCATTCTTATCATTATCTATAAAATGGGTAGTTGGTATAGATATCATTCTACTTTATGAATTTTTTTTAAAAGCACAGAAAATGTAACCACATATAAGGCCACACAGCAAATCAGAGGATAGACAGAACTAGCGATTAGACCTTCCATTTGGAAAGTTGGAGTCTTATCAATTTGGCAACTGTATCTCAGGGTGTGACAACCCTAAGTATTATAAATATTGAAGCATATTTGAGCGTGTGACAGCTCTATCACCCCTGCCAAACGTTAGGAGTAGGGATCACCTATTTTCAGCACAGAGAATACATGAGAACGAGAGAGCAACATTAGGAAGCAGAGGGGATGGTTAGCAGGGTCTATCTGGAAGCTTGCCCACCTGTCCCATGTCTAAGATGCTATTTCCTGTGTACACATGTCTCCATCGTGTTCTTCACAAAGGCTTATACCACCTCTTTTCCAAAGGCATATGTGATGGAACAGTTAGCACTTCTTCTTAACCAAGCGATGAAACGGCAATTACCAAAAACCAGCACTGTGTTGCCAGAAAGACAAGTCATTCCATAAATAAGAAACTGAATCTTTTAAATCCGTGCTTACCAAGATGCTACAAAACTCATCCTAGTTTTTAATCACTTAGAGTCTAGACCACTTTCCAGTTTATAAATCATTCAAGGCCAAAATAATGAATTTGAAAATTATGCAGAACAGAAGCTGGAAAATTACATGTAAATCCTCAAACCGAGTGACATTATGTCTTCTACTTGGTGGGGGAAGCTTCCTGAATGCGGAAATGAAGATATGGAGACAGCAGTCCTGTGGAAAGGACTGCAAGATGGGAGACAGTGGCATAAGGCACTACCTTCACCCCAGCCTACCCTGAGGTCACCCTGGATGCCGGCCACACGGGCAGGGGAGGGCGAACACACATGCGTGCTCAGCTTCTCACGTCCTCTTAGCTGGTTTGGCAGTTAACTGCTTTTCTCTTTCAAATTCCTTCTCGCGTTGCTGCTCCCTCTCCAACTCCTCTTTCTGCCTCTTCTGCTGTAGCTTAAGTGCTCTTTTCTGTGTCAAAAAAATTTAAAACCAAGAGAACAATCAAGGCTTATCAGTTGTGGCCTCATTTCAAAGTAGCAGTGCTCTGACTTGAGGTAATCCACATGCATTAATAAATTTCATATTTAACTTTTAAATTTGTCTGGATAATTTAAGGTGCCCCTTAATATAAAAAAAATTTTTTAGTTTCTTACTCCAAACTCTTACTGAATGAGAACAGCAGGGACAATGAAAACACGAGCTCCTTAAAAGCCCAGCTATGAGTAGAAAAGCCCAGAGTAGTATGTGTTTTAAAAGAAAACAGTGAACCATGAATTAAGTATGTTATTGAATATGCATATCTAAGAAGTCAGAAGATGAATACTGAAAAAAACAAACAATTAAACCTCTGCTTCTATAAAGAATGTGAAAGAACTGTCAACTCACTTTTAACTTCGACGTCTTTTCATGAAGCATCAACATCTCTTTTCTTATATTCACCAACTTGGCATGATAGTGTTTAGCTTCAGTGAACTAAACATGGAAAAGGAAATGAAAAGCCAAGTTAAAATAGGCTGAAATTAAAAAAAAAAAAGGGAAAAAAACAGACATTTTGAAATAGTAAAATGGATGAGTTATAAATTACAGTTCATTCTGCCTCAACGGTCACATCTTTTAAAACCTTAATTATCTAATTTTAATGCCAAAATTCAAATTTCATTTAAACCACTAATAGGCATTTGAAAACATTTGATTCAGTTCAAATTGAAAAAAAGAGTTACGAAACATAAAATAGACATTTATATTGTGTACAGGTAACATTTTGCTTTAAAAACATGCAATATAATCCTAAAATTTTACTAAGACTATCCAGTAATGCTATCAGTTTCATGTAAGAAAAAGGAGAACACTCTACTGTCTTTACAGGGGAGAGCCTGAGCAGGGTACACAGGACAATTTCAGTGAAGTGTCCGCCCATCAGGAAAAACCAAGCTATGGCCAGAGAATCCTGAGAGGGCTGTGGACAAATCTGGTCATGTTCCTTGGGCTTCTAAAGTGAGACCACGCAGAACCACCTCTGTAAGGACACTTCTTCCCAAGTCATGGTCTGTATGGACATTCCATCTCAGCCAGAGATGGGAGCAAAAGAAAAAAGCACCTCATTCTCAGGAGCCAAGGTTAACAGAAAGAGAAGACCAAGTAACAAGAATAAGAGATGTGTCAGTAAAGAAATTAGCAACCTACATGTATCTACAAGTAAAGTCTTAGTCTGATGAGCTCTAGAGCTTACAGATCCTCTTCCCTGTCCCGCCCCCACCTCCCCAGGGCCTTACAGTTCTCAGCTCCTGAATGATAATCAAACCACTCTTGGGCTGAGAGAGGAAAAAACAGGAAGACCCTTGCAAACTGAAGTTACACTATTACATCTGCTTGGTTCATTCATTTATCACTCATTCACTCAGCAAATGTTTGTTCTGCTGCAATATGAATTCAGTGGGGAAGACAAAAGTAGGTCAGCGTAGCCTTGTCCACCTCCCTTGAGAACAAGTCAGAAAACCATTAAGTGGAAGACTTTGTATTTACTACCCCAGGCCTCTGCCTAATGCTACAGAAGATGAACTCTGTTTTTGATCATTATAAAGGGAAAACATTAATGAGCCACATTTGTTCAACAAAAAGTTCATTTTTTGACACATGTATGAAAGTCCACAAAATCATACAAACCAAGCTACTGCTTAATGTTGAGGTGAAAAGAAAGTTCCTTATTTTTGTTAATTCCCTGCTTCTTAAAATAGAGCATCAGTCCTCTCATCAAAAAGCTATAAAGCTTCTGATGAAATTCACTACTGTAACATACACTGAAAGATATAAAGGATCTATAAAGGACCCCCCAAAGGGTCCATTTCAGCATTAATATGTTATGACACTATGAATGGGCCATACAATTAAATAAAATGTTGATTTTTAAAAAGTCTTGTAATTCGGGCACCTGGGTGGCTCAGATGGTTAAGTGTCTGCCTTCGGCTCAGGTCATGGTCCCAGGGTCCTGGGATCGGGTCCCGCGCCAGGCTCCCTTCTCCTTGGGAGCCTGCTTCTCCCTCTCTCTCTCCCCCTCTGTCTCTCATGAATAAAAAAAAAAAAAAAAAAGTCTTGTAATTGATTAGGAGAGATGCACGCTCCTTAAGGCGAAACACAGCACCCCAAAAGTTCCTTACTTTTAGTTCTCTTAGTTCTCTTTTAGAAGTCTTTAATTATTATGAGCAAATCTATTCCAGACTTTAACAAATAAGTTCCATTTTCTACTACAAGTTCAACATTCGAAAGATAACAATTCAAGACAATGGAAGTTCTAGTAAAGTAAATAAAGGTTTCCTGTTAAAAGACAAATCCTAAACATTAAAAATTAGAGGAAAAGATCCTAAATATACCTAAGTACAAAGCTGCACAGGATAAACCTAGTTATTTCTAAGCCAAGCTCTCATTACGCTGTGTCAACTAAATCATACTTACCAAAGCATTAATATCCAACATAGAATGACATTCTTTAAATTTTGAAATCTCCTGTTCCAGTGTGTCTAGTAATACAACTTGGTTCTGTCTGAAACAAAAGCACATAGCCAAAGTAAACTGTACATACTGTAAGTGCTGGAATCACATTTCATCTTGGTTAATGTCAAAGGTAAAAATTAAGTTGAAAATGTATTGCCTCTCCAAGGCTTATTTGGTTTAACAAAATCTTTTTCAAAATAATATTCCAGGGGCGCCTGGGTGACTCAGTCGGTTAAGCCTCTGACTCTTGATCTCAGCTCAGGTCTTGATCTCAGGGTCATGAGTTCAAGCCCCACATTGGGCTCCACACTGGGAATGTGGAGCCTACTTTAGAAAATATAATCATAATCATAATATTCCAAAGCCACATTCTGGTAACTGTATCTTTTATTCTTGCCTAAATGAGTAGTAACTCTAATAACTGAATCTAACTGTAATAATTGAAATCATCAAATCATTTAAAATCATTGTTACTTGTTATTTCTAGCAACTCTGTATTATCCAAAAAAAAGTTTTTTTATACTATCTTGCCCAAAAAACTTGATTTTATGTATATTAAAACTGCAAAATTACCATAAAGGAAATGGGAAGCAATGACTTTTTAGATTAGAGTTGGGGAAAATGCACTATCAATGGATACCTCAAAAAGGTAAAGAAGATGAAAAAACAGGACTAGGAAACACAGATTCCCCACCAATAACAAGTTGTGTGATCCTGGAAATTTAGTTTATCTCTCTGGGCCTAAATTTCTTTATTTATAAAGTGAGAAGGTCAGACCACGTAACTTCTAAGGGTCCTCATTAAAATTCTGATTCAAAACCTTCTATTAAAGAACAGAAGCCAGGGGCGCCTGGGTGGCTCAGTCGGTTAATCGTCTGCCTTCAGCTCAGGTCATGATCCCAGGGTCCTGGGATCGAGCCTCGCATCGGGCTCCCTGCTCAGCGGGAAGCCTGCTTCTCCCTCTCCTACTCCCCCTGCTTGTGTTCCCTCTCTCACTGTCTCTCTCTCTCTCTCTCTCTGTCAAAT